AGTACATTTTATGACGAGCCTAGAAGTCTCTAGTGCTAAGATGTCTTTGGGGTGTACTGAGTACATTTTATGACGAGCCTAGAAGTCTCTAGTGCTAAGATGTCTTTGGGTTGTACTGAGTACATTTTATGACGAGCCTAAAAGTCTCTAGTGCTAAGATGTCTTTGGGTTGTACTGAGTACATTTTATGACGAGCCTAGAAGTCTCTAGTGCTAAGATGTCTTTGGGTTGTACTGAGTACATTTTATGACGAGCCTAGAAGTCTCTAGTGCTAAGATGTCTTTGGGTTGTACTGAGTACATTTTACGACGAGCCTAGAAGTCTCTAGTGCTAAGATGTCTTTGGGGTGTACTGAGTACATTTTACGACGAGCCTAGAAGTGCCACATTTTAGTGGGGTTTAGGGGATTGCTTGGTCGGAAGGAGAGCGTATGATTGCTAACTCCAAAAGTATCGAGTTCGGACCCCCGGGAAGATGGGACCCGATAGCTGGGGAGAGTTTCCCTTCTAGATGAGAAAACTCCAATACCAAACAATTGCTGTTATGCAGATGTTTATTGAGTTGCAAAAAGTCTTAAGAAATTAAAAATGAAACGCAGGCTGAAGTCGAAGTCATGGGCCATATTACGCATAACCCGTTAGCACGTTATATTTAATTATGATGAAGGCAATCGATTCCACCTATGCAGTAAAGAAAGAACACTAGAACAATTGGGTTTAAAAATTATGAGAACGTTTAAAAGTACCATATTATTTCTGTCGACTTGTGTTGACTTAAAGTCAAAATTGAAATTTTTTTTAATCGAGTTCTGTTGATCGTTATTTAGGGCCATAGCCTGTATGTTTCTGAAAGAAATATTCATACCGTCTCTATGCCATAAATATTCATACCATTATTACTCTACAAATTCCACCAGCATCTTTTTAAAAACAACAGTGTCCATTGTTTCCAAATTTGAATAACATTTGTTTGTTCAACTTTTTTATCGATTTACACGTCGCATACATTCTAGAGATCAAATACTGGCGAAAGTCAATAAATTTAGATCAACTATCGAACTCAACATCTCATTCAGAGACATAAATTTACTTTGCTTGATAGCCTTAATGCCCAAAGAAAGACTACAATTACGAGCCTTTGGTGATGGTGTATTAATACTCTCGACGCCATATTTTCTCAACTTTCTTGACAACCGGAAATAGTGAATTACGCCCGTCTATGAACATGGCGGAAGTGACATATTTCTTTCAACAAACCATTCCATGTAGACAGTAAGAAAACAGAGCAAAGTTTTTGTCAACCAAACATATTTTTTTAATTCCGGTAATTAATTAATGTGTAATTGATTAATGTGTTGCTTATTTAAAAGAAATTGATGTAGCATATTTAAGGAATACTGTTGCTTTTTTTATTTTTTTAAATTAAAGTTCTGATAAATCTTATCGAATCCCAATCAAAGAGGTGATTAAGCATTTAAATATTTACAAAAATAGAGTACAGACACCATGTTTGGTTAGAGTTTAGAGATTTAGATATAGTCTAGCTGGTATTAAGCGTAGATCTAGATTTATATGATTATAAAAAGTTGAATGTACGGGTTTTAAAAAAAAAATTCTTAAGTTTGGAGATAATTCTTTTTGTAGTCGTATTAGTTAGAATCATTTAAGATTTGAAATATTCAAAAATACATTTTTTAAATTTGTCACATGGTATTTTAAACAAAATATGCTCAATATTGTCATGTAAAAATTATACGTAACTATGGGAACAATGTGATATTTTAATTTAAAAAAAAAAGGATTAACAAAGGGGAACGAATAGTGTCAAAGAACTCTTACAAGTGCCTTGGTTTAAAATATTTACAGGAAGACTGATTGAATAAACCAACCAAATTCGGCTTTACAAAAGTCAGGGTAAATATATATATATATATATTTACACACACACATATATATGTATATATATATATATATATATATATATATATATATATATATATATATATATATATATATATATATATATATATATATATACATATATATATATATATATATATATATATATATATACATGTATGTATACTATAGTCTCAAACTACTGTTGTGTTTTTCAGGACACCAATAACACCTCTGCTAAGAAAAAAAACCACCATCGCAGTCTGCATGGAGATGTTCAGGAAATGACGCAGATGGTGTCAGGATGGCAAGCGGTAGCCCACGTCACGTGACTCGCCCAACCAATCCCACCACCCCATCCCACGAACCCGTGGACCCAGATCCCCCCACCCCAGAAGCGGAGAGTAGCCAGTATGAGGACCCACCCACCGATAGCAATTACACCTTGTACTATGACTGTATCGAGCCTAGCGAAGCCAATGATTACACTACGGACGCTATTGTAAAGGGTGCTTGGGTTCTAGAAAACGAAGATGAAGAAGAGGATGAAACTGACAAAAGTCTCCTTGTCAATGAAGTAAAATTTAGACATTTTACAGAGGATAAAAGCGTCAATGTACGCATGAGTCCATACAAATCATCCCATGCTGATCACGGTGTACGTCTAGTTCAAGACGACGCATCTAGTATCGAAAAAAGCGGTGATGGCGTCAAGATCGACGTTGAGAAATCCGAAACAGACTGTGCTTGCTCGAAGACCAGCACTACATCTCTCAGCCACACCCCGCTGACGAAAAAAGCTGAAAGCAACTTCACCACAACCAAACCCGTATTCGCAGACGCCTCGCACAATTTCGCGTCTACAATCACCGTAAGCCCCATCAGCGGCATCAACCCTCTGCATATGGCGAGTACAATGCAATTGTCTGCAATCGCTCTAATCGCCACCCAGCGAATCGAACGTCAAGGTACTCTAGGTGATACAGTTAACCGGGTGTTTACACTGTCACCTCGAACTACGGGAGAAGGTGACGAGTCACAGCCCAGCGGAGACATTCTTGTTTGTGAGTACACTTTAATGGAGCCGAAACGCGAGCACAGTGCCGCTGCTAAGGAGACAGGAGATGACGTCAGCATACGCATTGAACTGGGGATCGAAGAGGATGCACAATCAGCTGGTGGAAAATCGGGTGGAGAGAACTGTGATGGTGTCCGTGAGTCTTTGGATAAGCTTGTATACATATGTACACCTCCTAGAAATACACATAAACTATCCCCTTCAATCTTTCTCTCTCTCTCTCTCTCTCTCTCTCTCTCTCTCTCTCTCTCTATATATATATATATATATATATATATATATAGATATTAGAAAAAACATATTTTCGAATGTTACGAAATGTAAATTAGCCGCATGTAAAAGCTAAAATTCCCTCTTCCACCAGCTAAAACCTAACATTCCACCAACTTCCACCATCTTCCACCAGCTAAAACCTAACATTTCACCATCTTCCACCAGCTAAAACCTAACATTCCACCATCTTCCACCAGCTAAAACCTAACATTCCAACATCTTCCACAATATCTAACATTCCACCATCTTCCACCAACTAAAATCTAACATTCCACCAACTAAAACCTAACATTCCACCATCTTCCACCAACTAAAATCTAACATTCCACCAACTAAAACCTAACATTCCACCACCTTCCACTAGCTGAAATCTAACATTCCACCAACTAAAACCTAACGTTCCACCATCTTCCACCAACTAAAACCTAACATTCCACCACCTTCCACCAACTAAAACCTAACATTCCACCATCTTCCACCAAACTAAAACCTAACATTCCACCAACTAAAACCTAACGTTCCACCACCTTCCACCAACTGAAACCTAACATTCCACCATCTTCCACCAACTAAAACCTAACATTCCACCAACTAAAACCTAACGTTCCACCACCTTCCACCAACTGAAACCTAACATTCCACCATCTTCCACCAGCTAAAACCTAACATTCCACCACCTTCCACCAACTAAAACCTAACATTCCACCATCTTCCACCAACTAAAACCAAACATTCCACCACCTTCCACCAACTAAAACCTAACATTCCACCACCTTCCACCAACTAAAACCTAACTTTCCACCACCTTCCACCAACTAAAACCTAACATTCCACCAACTAAAACCTAACGTTCCACCACCTTCCACCAACTAAAACCTAACATTCCACCACCTTCCACCAACTAAAACCTAACATTCCACCATCTTCCACCAACTAAAACCTAACATTCCACCACCTTCCACCAACTAAAACCTAACATTCCACCACCTTCCAGTATCTAAAACCTAACATTCCACCTCCTTCCACCAACTAAAACCTAACATTCCACCACCTTCCACCAACTAAAACCTAACATTCCACCACCTTCCACCAACTAAAACCTAACATTCCACCACCTTCCACCAACTAAAACCTAACATTCCACCACCTTCCACCAACTAAAACCTAACATTCCACCAACTAAAACCTAACATTCCACCATCTTCCACCAACTAAAACCTAACATTCCACCAACTAAAACCTAACATTCCACCACCTTCCACCAACTAAAACCTAACATTACACCACCTTCCACCAACTAAAACCTAACATTCCACCAACTAAAACCTAACATTCCACCATCTTCCACCAACTGAAACCTAACATTCCACCATCTTCCACCAACTAAAACCTAACATTCCACCAACTAAAACCTAACGTTCCACCACCTACCACCAACTGAAACCTAACATTTCACCATCTTCCACCAGCTAAAACCTAACATTCCACCACCTTCCACCAGCTAAAACCTAACATTCCACCACCTTCCACCAACTAAAACCTAACATTCCACCACCTTCCACCAACTAAAACCTAATATTCCTACATCTTCCACCAACTGAAACCTAACATTCCACCATCTTCCACCAACTAAAACCTAACATTCCACCAACTAAAATCTAACATTCCACCACCCTCCACCAACTAAAACCTAACATTCCACCACCTTCCAGTATCTAAAACCTAACATTCCACCACCTTCCACCAACTAAAACCTAACATTCCACCAACTAAAACCTAACATTCCACCACCTTCCAGTATCTAAAACCTAACATTCCACCACCTTCCACCAACTAAAACCTAACATTCCACCGACTAAAACCTAACATTCCACCACCTTCCAGTATCTAAAACCTCACATTCCACCACCTTCCACCAACTAAAACCTAACATTCCACCACCTTCCACCAACTAAAACCTAACATTCCACCACCTTCCACTATCTAAAACCTAACATTCCACCACCTTCCAGTATCTAAAACCTAACATTCCACCACCTTCCACTATCTAAAACCTAACATTCCACCACCTTCCACCAACTAAAACCTAACATTCCACCACCTTCCACAAGCTAAAACATAACAATCCACTGTCTTTCACCAACTAAAACCAAACATTCCACCATCTTCAATCAACTGAAACCTAACATTCCACCATCTTCCACCAGCTAAAACCTAACATTCCACCACATTCCACCAACTAAAACCTAACATTCCACCACCTTCCACCAACTAAAACCTAACATTCCACCACCTTCCAGTATCTAAAACCTAACATTCCACCACCTTCCACCAACTAAAACCTAACTTTCCACCATCTTCCACCAACTAAAACCTAACATTCCACCACATTCCACCAACTAAAACCTAACATTCCACCACCTTCCACCAACTAAAACCTAACATTCCACCATCTTCCACCAACTAAAACCTAACATTTCACCAACTAAAACCTAACGTTCCACCACCTTCCACCAACTGAAACCTAACATTCCACCATCTTCCACCAGCTAAAACCTAACATTCCACCACCTTCCACCAACTAAAACCTAACGTTCCACCACCTTCCACCAGCTAAAACCTAACATTCCACCACATTCCACCAACTAAAACCTAACATTCCACCACCTTCCACCAACTAAAACCTAACATTCCACCACCTTCCACCAACTAAAACCTAACATTCCACCACCTTCCACTAGCTGAAACCTAACATTCCACCAACTAAAACCTAACATTCCACCACCTTCCACCAACTAAAACCTAACATTCCACCAACTAAAACCTAACGTTCCACCACCTTCCACTAGCTGAAACCTAACATTCCACCAACTAAAACCTAACATTCCACCACCTTCCACTAGCTGAAACCTAACATTCCACCAACTAAAACCTAACTTTCCACCACCTTCCACCAAATAAAACCTAACATTACACCATCTAAAATCTAGCATTCTACCATCTTTCACCAGCTGATGCCCTGAACACCAACACCAATGCTTTAGCCGAGTCGTTGGCCAAGATCGAGCAGGAGGAACGCGAGTGTACTGAATACCTGAGAGACGAGAGAATGGCGGACAGGATCCAACAACTCATGGCCGAGAGGGACGATCTCGAGTTCAAAACCCACCTCCTCCTTGCATGGAACTCTATCCTCTTCTTCTTCCTCGTCAGTACTCTGATCTACGCATGCGCATGCGTCTGTGGCTTCCGGAAGTCCTTTACTTGTGGGGAAACATGTCTCCGGCGAGAGAAGCAGCAGGAAGAGCAACCAGTGCATAAGAAATGGTGGGAGTAATTCGATGCCTGGAACAGCGCGGTGCGATTTACTGTTTATTTTGTGGTGGGAGGTGAGAGAACAGCGTGGGCAGAAAGTGTCCCAAATATCGTTGGCAATGTTCCATCGCCATTAAAAGTCGATGGTTTAAAAAAAATGATTACATCAAAGAAAATAGAAACATCACTCGTCACATTTTAAAATAGGGACTACATTTTAAGGGAAACATCAAGGTTGAGTTGTTATTGTAACGTATGAAGAATAAACTAAACGCATTTTGGAAATTTAAAATGGAGTATATAATTCAATAACGAATGCATTGTTTGAGTTGATTTCACAAATTTATATTACTTTATTCGTTATTTTCATTTTCGATAATTTCGTACGAAAGACGATATTTCTCTTTTTTTTCTTTAAATCTCTCGTATTCACAAAACAATTAGAGAGATCAACATTAAATGGGAAACAACATTCAAATTTCAAATAATTTGATCTCTTAAACTCAGTTTTTGATACCTTTATTACGACACATTTATCCTTTTTGTTGAGGCAAAATTTAATTGTTGGCGTTAGTTAATGACCACTATAAAAATGAAAATTACAATAATTCAGAAATTTAGGAATTATTTTGATTCATATCTATAAACTATGTAGCGTTTTATATGACAGACTCTATGAAGCTTTTACCTATTGATTTCAACTGATTGCTTCATGCCTGCACAAGTAAAGCTATTTTGCTTTTCCTTTTTGTTCCGTTATACAGTTTTTGTTTTGTTATTTCTACCTTCAGTTAAAAAAAAAACCAAACAATCGTTAGGCATTTATATTTTTTGTTACTATTTCTTCTAATAACTCTGGTTACTATTCGTCAGCGCCTGCGATACTGCTGATTCTAATGTACGTAGTAACTTCCTGTCTATTGGGTTCATCAGCTTTGTGGAGAGAGGGGTCTGATACACGGGCTACATCTAACCCTGGAGAGAGGGGTCTGATACACGGGAAACATCTGACCCTGGAGAGAGGGGTCTGATACACGGGAAACATCTGACCCTGGAGAGAGGGGTCTGATACACGGGCTACATCTGACTCTGGAGAGAGGGGTCTGATACACGGGCTACATCTGACCTTGGAGAGAGGGGTCTGATACACGGGCAACATCTGACTCTGGAGAGAGGGGTCTGATACACGGGCTACATCTGACTCTGGAGAGAGGGGTCTGATACACGGGCTACATCTGACTCTGGAGAGAGGGGTCTGATACACGGGCTACATCTGACTCTGGAGAGAGGGGTCTGATACACGGGCTACATCTGACCCTGGAGAGAGGGGTCTGATACACGGGCTACATCTGACTCTGGAGAGAGGGGTCTGATACACGGGCTACATCTGACCCTGGAGAGAGGGGTCTGATACACGGGAAACATCTGACCCTGGAGAGAGGGGTCTGATACACGGGAAACATCTGACCCTTGAGAGAGGGGTCTGATACACGGGCTACATCTGACCCTGGAGAGAGGGGTCTGATACACGGGCTACATCTGACCCTGGAGAGAGGGGTCTGATACACGGGCTACATCTGACTCTGGAGAGAGGGGTCTGATACACGGGCTACATCTGACTCTGGAGAGAGGGGTCTGATACACGGGCTACATCTGACCCTGGAGAGAGGGGTCTGATACACGGGCTACATCTGACCCTGGAGAGAGGGGTCTGATACACGGGCTACATCTGACCCTGGAGAGAGGGGTCTGATACACGGGAAACATCTGACCCTGGAGAGAGGGGTCTGATACACGGGAAACATCTGACCCTGGAGAGAGGGGTCTGATACACGGGCTACATCTGACCTTGGAGAGAGGGGTCTGATACACGGGCTACATCTGACCCTGGAGAGAGGGGTCTGATACACGGGAAAATCTGACAATTGTCACCGCACTGTCTAGGCATTGTGCTTGTTTTTTCAATAGACATTCATCCAATGGTCCATTAGGGTAAGGAGTCTTATCTGTAGTTTTAACATTTATTTCAATCATTTTTCGATGTATCTTGCATGTATCGATAACCCTACATACACTCGCCTAAATTTCCAGCCAATAGATGGAGTAAAACTTGCAATACATACACATTTTTCTTCCGAACCACGTTTCCGTCTTGTACAATGAGATGTATCTATTTCATAAAATGGAGGCAGACATGCGACCTAATTGTGTATCTATCTCGTGTCAAGTCTCGTCCCGCGAGATACCCCCTGCACGAGACTTGATTTAGTAGAGAAAGATCTGCAATTATTCTCACAGCTTCTTCCAATAAATTCAATTTTACGGCCATTTTAGAATAATGTCCGCGAGCGATCAATAGACACGACGTTGTACTCGTGTCGTGTGGATAGTCAAACTATAGTTTGGTGAATAGTCAAAGTATAGTTGTGTAGATAATCAAACTATAGTTGTGTAGATAGTCAAATTATAGTTGTGTAGATAATCAAACTACGGTTGTGTGAATAGTCAAACTATAGTTGTGTGAATAGTCAAACTATAGTTGTGTGAATAGTCAAACTATAGTTGTGTGAACAGTCAAACAATATTTGCATGAATAGTCAAACTATAGTTGTGTAGATAGTCAAAATATAGTTGTGTACATAGTCAGACTATGGTTGTGTGAATACTCAAACTATAGTTGTGTAGATAGTCAATGTATGGTCGTGTGAATAGTATAGAAAAATTATAGTTGTGTAGATAGTCAAAATATGGTTGTGGATAGTCAAGCTATAATTGTGTGAATAGTCAAATTATATTTGTGTGATTAGCCAAACTATCGTTGTGGTCGATAGTCAAAATGTAGTTGTGTTGATAGTCAAACTAGATTTTGTAGATAGTCCAAATATTGGTTGTGTAGATTCTCATACGGTAGTTGTGTTTATGGTTTTCTGGATAGCCAGACTATGGTTGTATAAATGGTCAGAATATATTTGTAACGTCCATTTTCAATTATACTTATCTGGATTGCCATGCTAAAGCTGTTGGAATAGTCTTATCTTGTCTGATTAAAATTGTGCTGTATCAATTTTTTTTAGGATACTCGATCTAAAATGTGTATGAACACTAACTAAAATGAGTTCATCTTTCTACAAAATTTGCTGGATATTACGCTAGATAAAAGTACAAATTTATCAATCACATCAATGTAGAATCGCGTAAATAGTCGTTCAAATAATTTTTTGATGTTATTGATGTAGTTTCACTGTAAGCAGTCCTACATTATGTTGGCTGTCGATCAAGCACTAAATATTTTCAAACTTTCATTCACAACTTTCAAATATATCTTCCACAGTCAACGAAATTTAACTCATTACTTGAGTTGAACTATAGCGGGAAAAAAAAAAGATATTCCCAGTAAAACTGACTCATTTAAATGGTAATAAAAGTACATCGGGTTAAATTAAATTACTTTAGATTACCAATTCTCGCTAGCATTTGTATACCACTTGTCGCAATCTGACTAGTAGCGTTAAATGGTGGATGATGAGAGAGAGAAACTACCGGAAGTACTTTTATAAGGACGCCATGACACATACACGAACCATGCTGTATTGCCGGGTGGAAAAATAAACCTTGATCGTTGCTTTCAGATTATTTTTTCCTGACGTCAAAGTGTTTACATGACGCACTGAGACGTGACATCAGAGTTCACCAACGTCACGCGGTGATCCCACCAATGGCAGGCTGTTGAAAGAAGCACGTGACTAGCAGGAAGTTAGACGCCTGGCTAACGGCGTATGAATACATTTGAATTTAACAGGCGTGAAGGCGGAACTGGCCTTATGCACGGGCATGTCCGGGTAGCTTAGCGTCTGCTAGACGTATATGGGGGTAGTCTGGGGTTGGAGACTTCTGTGGAGGTGCCAGGGAGATGTAAAGATGTTGGTGGAGCCACGTCTGTTTGGTTGGGCCATGTCTGTGTGGTGGGCTACGTCTGTGTGGGTGGTGTAGCCATATTTGTGTGGTGGGGCCATGCATGTGTGATGTAGCCTCGTCTGTGAGCCACATCTGTGTGGTGGGGCCATGTTTATGTGGTGTATCCTCGTCTGCATGGTGTAGCAACATCTGTGTGGTGTAGCCACATCTGCGTGGTGGGGCCATGTTTGTGTGGTGTAGCCAAATCTGTGTGGTGTAGCCACATCTGTGAGGTGGAACTACATGTTTGGTGTAGCCACGTCTGTGTGGTGTAGCCAAATCTGTGTGGTGTAGCCACATCTGTGAGGTGGAACTACATGTTTGGTGTAGCCACGTCTGTGTGGTGTAGCCACGTCTGTGTGGTGTAGCCACGTCTGTGTGGTGTAGCCAAATCTGTGTGGTGTAGCCACATCTGTGAGGTGGAACTACATGTTTGGTGTAGCCACGTCTGTGTGGTGTAGCCACGTCTGTGTGGTGTAGCCACGTCTGTGTGGTGTAGCCACGTCTGTGTAGTGTAGCCACGTCTGTGTGGTGTAGCCACGTCTGTGTGGTGTAGCCACGTCTGTGTGGTGTAGCAACATCTGTGTGGTGGAACTATATGTGTGGTGTAGCCACGCCTGTGTGGTGTAGCCACGTCTGTGTGGTGTAGCCACGTCTGTGTGGTGTAGCCACATCTGTGTGGTGGAACTATATGTGTGGTGTAGCCACGTCTGTGTAGTGTAGCCACGTCTGTGTGGTGTAGCCACGTCTGTGTGGTGTAGCCACATCTGTGTGGTGGAACTACATGTTTGGTGTAGCCACGCCTGTGTGGTGTAGCCACGTCTGTGTGGTGTAGCCACGTCTGTGTGGTGTAGCCACGTCTGTGTGGTGGAACTATATGTGTGGTGTAGCCACGTCTGTGTGGTGTAGCCACGTATGTGTGGTGTAGCCACGTCTGTGTGGTGTAGCCACATCTGTGTGGTGTAGCCACATCTGTGTGGTGGAACTATATGTGTGGTGTAGCCACGTCTGTGTGGTGTAGCCACGTCTGTGTGGTGTAGCCACATCTGTGTGGTGTAGCCACGTCTGTGTGGTGTATCCACGTCTGTGTGGTGTAGCCACATCTGTGTGGTGTAGCCACGTCTGTGAACCACATCTGTGTGGTGAAGAGATAGATAGTGGAGCCACGTATGTGTGGTTGAGACCTTAGGCACAGTAAACTATGGCCAAATCTGGATACGCTCAACACAACCATATAAATAGACGGCCAAATCTATACAAACACCACACCATCCAAATTACGGACGGCCAAATCTTACAACGTTGATCACGTGATGTAAAAGGAGCA